CTAGTCACTGAATGGCACCAAGAGAATCTAAACCTCTATTGCACTCAGCCCGCTGATGGCCTGTCAACCGCTTAAAAATAATACAAAGCCCCTTGACAAAACATTTGGTGCTGAGTGTTCCGGGTGCACAGGGAATATTCTTCATTCGTTCCCAGTATTTATTATGCTAGTACAAAAATGCGCCTGCAAAATGACTGTTGAAGCACCTCCCCCTCCCCACTGCTGCGGTTGCTGTTCTACAAAGCACTTGCAGCTTTACGCAGCTCAGTGTGCAACCCACTGGGGAGCGTGTGCGTGTGACGGGGCCCGCTCGGTGCAGACCCACCGAGGGTGGGAGCTGGTACAGCCCGCAGCTACAGAGCTGTGGCTCGTTAGCGCAAGCTGTAGCAGTGTGTGCTTTCAGGTGGTGAGGTCCCCTGTCCAACCCACTGTGCGTCGGTCCAGATCTCCGCCAGCACAAGTGCCCCAGGTGTTCATTCCCACATGCCAAACATCAGCTCCCACTGTGGCCTCGATTCAGCAAAGCACTCACTTAGTTTCAAGCATGTGTTCAAGTCCCAGTAAACTCCAAGAGGCTTTAACTGGGGCCCCACTAACCGCCCCACCCCTCCAAATGCTTCATGGGCACCGCGAGTGACCTCCGACCGGCGTTGGGCTCAGGACACGCCAGAGGGCGTACTGAGGACATCCAAGTGTTTTTGCAGAATGCAGCTGGGAGTGTTGGGGTGGAGGCGGCCATTTGGCACACTGGAGAGCAGGAGGAGAGGAGCCTTGAGAATCTGTATCATTCTGAGGCATTTTTAATACTTGTTTTTATCTCCATCTCCACCTTACTGGCAACTGAACCAGCAGATTAAAGGCCTCTAGTTTTTGTAAGCTGACTCCGTGACTGGAAAACCAGGTGGTCTGCAATTATTTCAATACACACCGTTCAGAGAATGGAGTTTTTGGATGATTTCCTGTGGTCCATTAACTCAGGCCACTGACAGCCGGGGCAGACTTCCAGCCTCAGAAAAATCAGCCATAGCAGATACAGCCTCTGCCCTCCAGGGCAATGCCTCAGGTCCACATCAGGCCAGAACTGACTGCTGTTACCATCCCAAAGCTGTTTAATGGCCCACGTGAGCCACTGGTTTCTGTCCACTTCCTAGCGGGCAGACGTCTACACCGCAAACCACCACGACAGCAGAGCCCACTTGGTGGTAGTCTCCAGAGGGAGGTCAAGGAGGGAGAGCAGGAGAGGGCAGGAAGGCTGAGTGACCCTGCCCCGCCACAGCACGGCGATGACCCAGTGGAGGCAAGCGACGGTCAGAAACTGCTGGGCTGGCACCTTGGACAAAGCGAGATTTCAAACGCGGAGACGAGGCTGGGTTGGAGACGCTGCTTTTATTTCTCTTTATAAAAAAAACCTGCTGTTTTAATTGCCTTTGGGAAGGGTATTAGTCTGCAGTCACTGAAAGGGTTAACACCTCCACATGTATTTTGCCAGCGTTTGCTTGAGCTCTTGAAGGAGACAGAGAAGCTCATTAGCACTCTGCTGGCTGCAGGTGGCACAGACGCTGCCATGCGCCGGGGCACTGGGGCAAGCCAGAGAAACCCATTCGCCACGGTCAGCCACGCCAGCCTTAAGCCTCACGCACCTCAAGCCTGAGAGAGCTGCAACGCTGCAGCCTTTCACCGGGCTGCCTCTGCGCACTGGGCTCTGTTCCTAACTCAAGGCACCAGAGGCCGCTTCAAAGTAAGAGGGAGGAAAACATGCCCCTCTACGATTTCCATCGACTGGCCAGCCCTCCTGGCGCAGCACCAGTTTTCCCAGGGGCAGAAGGAGACGCCTCGGCAAACGTGAGGGATGGAAGGACAAAGCAGCAGCTCCTCCCGCTGCCATGGGCCAAAGGCCCGGAGGAGCAACGGGTTGGAACAGGAAGGCAGAGAGCGCGGCCGGAGGGCCGGGACAGACCCACTCAGCACCCAACGAGCAGAAACCACAGGGGGCTTCTGTTCCACCAGTGGCTCTCAATCTGTTCCATACCAGGGCCCCGGGAGCACGATGGGAAGGGCACGGCAGTGACGATGCAGAGGCTGAGAACCCTGCTCTCAGCACCACCCTCCAGCCCCCTCTCCAGCTGGCATCTGGTCCCAGACTCATCACCTCAGTCCCACTGAAGCCAAGAATGGAGCCAAGTGGAAGTGGGCAGGGAGGAGCCGGTGTCCGAGGAGGAGGGAGCCCATCCCGTCCAGTCCAGCACCTTAGTGTAGTCAATCCAGAAGGGTGCCGAGCATCTTTGGTTGGCTCCCTCCAAAGGAACTCAGCAACGCTCAGGATCAGGTCCCAAAAGTCAGCACATGGGGTGAAATAGTGCCCACGTCAAACAAACTCTCTCCTGATATTCAGCAAAGGCCGACTCACTCCTTTACACCTCGAGGAGCCAAATCTCCCAAGTTCTTTAGGCCTCTAAGTGCTTAGCGGAGGTTTCAAAAAACACCAAAAGACAAGGTGCCCAATTCCCATGGAAATCAATGGAGTGTGGGGAGATACCAAGGGGAGTTGGGCACATCACCTGCTTAGGTGCTTTGGAAAACTCCACTTGGTGCTTAAATACTACACATGGCCCAGTGTAGCCATGCCAGGGGCAAGGGAGAGAGAAGAGGTCTGCAACGACCAGCTGATCTTTACAGAGGCTCCAGCTTGTACTGATCTCTGCTTATGTCAGTCTGGGTCAAACCGAGATTGGCCCAAGTAGCAAAATCTAATTTTTTGACACGCCCCCCCTCCCGGCCCCCCCCAAAGTTAGGGTCCCAACTTCCCGAGGTTGGGGAATGCGGGGGCGCGTCTCCACCCAGGATCTAGGTGTGCTATGGGGATCTGCACTCTGAGCACTCGCGCATCCCTGCGTTCTTGAACCTGGGGGAGGGGGACGGGAGGGGGCTCCCTAGCGATGAGCACTGGGGATCATATTACTCTTACTGACGGCAAGGGAGACAGTGCTGGGATCTACTAACGTTCATTTTTAATCCTATCAACCTGGCACCTTTGAAACTAAACACTGATATCGAGCCTGCAAGGGCTAACTGCTCCCATCAGGTAATTATCTAATGCCGGTTTCAGAAGGTTTTTGTTTAATTTTACCTGATGCAGGTATAGGGTAAAAATCTTCAAAAAAAACCTAAGTGACTTGGGAGCCTAAATCCATTTTTAAAAGTGACTTGGGAGCCTCAATCCATTTTTAAAAGTGACTTGGGCTCTTAAGCGCTAAAGCACTTTTGAAAAAATCTTACCCTTCTCGTCGAACGGACAAAAGGCAATTTGTAAAGCAGATATCTGCTGTGCCAGGAAACCAGTCACTCATTCACGAGAGGGGGTCAAAAAGAGGGACATTTTTTTTGCAAACATTTTCACAAAAGCGTGTTCTATTTTTGTGAAATGTTTTCAAAACTTCTCAATCCCAGCTCTAATCATCACATTTTAAAAAGCGCACAAAATTGATCCTGGAGGAGTTGTTCTGGTCTGATCAGCAAACTGAATTTGCTGATCAAAATCATGGTCCGGGTTATGGTCTGGCCGGATAGAAAACCTAAAGCCAGCTGCACGAGGACGGACTGGACACATTTTCAGTTCAGATCAGTCATCATTCCCGTATATTTTAACCTACTTTCTAAAAAGGGAACAAGGTTTCTTTTGCAGAGCATCATGGCTGTGCTACATATGTAAGGCTGCAGTGGGATATAATGTAAGTAACCCTGGTGCACAGCGGGTCCAACTCTGAGCTCCCAGCCCGAGTTCAGATCAGGAGTGGCACCACTGAAGTCAAAATGGAGCAGAAACAGGTGAGAGGAGAACCAGGCCCAGGGTGTGTTTTATCTTAGCTGCACGCAGGGTGTAAGACACTCTTCTCTTCTCCCCCGTCTGGATGATTCACTTTGCATAGGACACCATTTCATCATATATTTAACAGTGACAGCAAACGCAAGTGACTCGTGACACACGGTATTTAAAGGAGAACCACACCAATGCAGGAGGCTTCTTTGCCCACCTCTGAACACAACGGCCCGTGGGCCCCTCCTGCCCAGCCCCTGAGCTCCTGGCCCGGGAGGCTCGCCCCGGCCCCTTCCCCCGCTGTCCCCCAGCCCCCACAGCCTCTGCTCACTGCGCTGCTGGCGTGATGCTCTGGGCGGGGGGGCTGCGAGCTCCTGGGGCAGGGCAGCAGCTGCAGAGCCTGGCTGGACCCGGTCTCTGTGCTGCGCGGTGGGTGGGTGGCTGGCTCCAGCCGGGCGGCACGGCTACACCACCGCCAGCCACCGGTGCTCCAGGCAGCGCGGTAAGGGGGCAGGGAGTGCGGGAGTTGGATAGAGGGCAGGGGAGTTGTGGGGAGGGTCGTTGGGGGCAGGGGTGTGGATAGGGGTCGTGGCGGTCAGAGGGCAGGGAACGGGGGGGTTGAATGGAGGAAGGGGTCCCGGCGGGGCAGTCAGGAAGGAGAGGAGGGGTTGGATGGGGCAGCGGGGGGCAGTCGGGGGGGGGGGTCCAGGGGCGGTCAGGGGACAGGGAGCAGGGTGGGGATAAGGGGCGGGGGCCAGGCCACGCCTGGCTGCTTGGGGCGGCATAGCCTCCCCTAACCAGCCCTCCATACAATTTCCAAAACCTGATGCGGCCCTCAGGCCAAAAAGTTTGCCCGCCCCGCTTGTGTTCTTGAGTGTAACAGGACTAATGACAAGCCAGAGCCCTCTCGAAAGGCCGAATCGTATGAGTGCCGCCGGAGACAACGGGAGTTGAGGGTGCTCAGCACCTTGCAGAATAAGGCCTTAAGAATCGCTGCTAATCATAAAAGAAACACAAACAGTGGTGCTGAGGTAATGGCAAAAGATTTCATTAGTGCAATTAACATTTATAATGGTATGTTCTTTAATAGAGAATTTAAATAAGGCTTTGAATAATTACACACACTAAAACTAACATTCCATAACCTTATTCCACATGGAAAAGCGGCAGAAAACCCTCCCTGCCCTACAAGGTCCAATTACGAACAATTACATTCAAGAAGAGGTGGCTTCCGAAAAAAACAAACAATTGTTTGTTGCATCATCGGCTCTTTCAAGTCTCCTTGCTCCCTCAGCGTGAGAAACATGTGAAGAGCAGATACACAGTACATTCACCATGGTGGGAGGTGGGGGTTTGGCCAGCAAAAAATGCCAAGTAGCGCTTCCCAGTCTGGAATCTCACCCAAGTTCTTTATGGTGATGGAAGCTCCTGAAAAGAACAACTGAATGTTTTTACACAGAGGAAGGTGAATTCTCTCCTCCCCACCCAAACAAGTTGTGGATAATTATGGAAGCTTGAAAAGAAATGATGTGGGCATGTGTGTTTATGGCTCAAGTTCTCCTTTTAAAAAACCACACACAAAAACAATGGTGGGGGGGGATGAGAATCAAAGCAGCATATGAAATAGTAATAAACGGTTTCAAAGTCTGCACTGTCCAGCAGAACCAGGAATTATCATGTGTTTGTTTTGTTCCTGACAAATCCAATCTACACTGGATATGTAAAAAACAAGGGACCGTGTCACCAAAAAACAACCTACACCTTGTATAGTCTTTAAAAAAAAAAATAAAAACAAGCGTTGGCAAAAGCTCAGAAAAACTTGTCGTCAATTCGGAAGTGGGGCCTCGTGACGTCGTCTGGGTTGATGAAGACGGAGATGGATTTCCCTGGGTTCTCAGTCACCAGCTGTTGCAGTTTTTTGGCTAATCGGTCATCAGGCTGGCTGGGGTCCCCTCCGTCTGACTGCGGGGAGGGGATGCTGCTGGTGCTGCCTCGCCTTTGGAGCTCCAGGGTTAGCCGGTTAGCAGCTTTAACGTGCTCAATGGCAGTTCGGAGGTGCTCTGCAGGATCTGAGCGGACCGAGGACAGCTTCCGGGCATGCAGCATGACTGTCTCTTCGGAAAGGTGCTCCAACATGTTGCACTGGGGGATGAAGTAATTGGGGCACATCTTATTGACCAAGCAATGTTGCAGGTCGTCAATGAGCCCCAGTAAGAAGTGGGCAGCATAATCCTCTTGAGCCAAGTAGTTGGCTGGGAGCCGGTCGCACGCCCACAGCATCATGCTCCGCAAGTGATATGGACTAATGGCTTTGGGGCGGGAGAGGAGTTTGATGATGATCGCTTTGCAGGCCTGGTAGGCTTGCATGAGGCTGCTGGAGATGCACTTCTTCAGCTGCACTTCGCTTCTGGCGAACGACAGCCTCCACTCATTGTCCTTCTTGCCTTTGTAGGAACAGGCAGGCACTAGGTAAAACCCACTAATGACTTCCTCCTCCGTGATCTTCCCATCCCAGAAGTGGTTCTCCATCAGCCAGCTCTGGGCCACCGCTGGCCACCCTTTGAAAGACACTACGGGGACAATATCATACAGCATGCGGCTGCTGCCCACTCCCAAGATGGTGGATATTATAGTTCCGTTCTTTTCCACCTTTTCTACTTTGGGCATCCCTCGCTGCGGCTTCTTCTGGATCTCAGACAAGACGATGCTAATGGAGTCATAGAACCAGTCCGCCACTTTCGTAGGAGAGAAGAAATAATTGGTGGCCCCATTGATATGGTCCACAATTGTGCAGCAGTCTTTCCATTTACTTATAGTACCTTCGTCGAACAGCCGAAGGCTCAGCCACGAGTGACACAGAGCCGAGTGGCGCATGTCCAGCGTGACTGGCTGGTTTCGGTCGTGCAGTTTCAGTGCTGGCACCAGAAGGGTGAAGTCCATGTCATAGTCCGTTCCTCGAGCGTAAACATTTAATTCGTCGAGATCGAGATCCACCACACCTTCCCGGACCCCGCCTGAAAGGAGCAGGTACTCATTGGCTACTGGGAGCTTTTGGTCCAGCTTCTGCACCATCCCTGCAAGAGAAACCAGAGTCAGAAAACGGGACGGATTTTTGGATTGCATGTTTAATTCACATTAAAAGCTACTGTGTGTCAAAGATGACATACAACCACCATGGAAATCCAGCACTGCTCATACAGGCTACAGGAGACACGAGTCTGAGGTCTTGTCTAGAAGAGTTAGCGTAGCAAGCTGGGGTGGAAATTTATAGCGCACGGGTGTGCCACACGCTAACTGGCCCTGTGGACACTGCTACTGCACACTAAAAGTTCCCCAGCATGCTTGGACAGCAGCAGGTCAATGCACGCTAGTGAACTTTTAGTGCAAGATAGCAAGGTCCGCATGGATGCTGAGTGTGTGCCAGACGACTGCGCTGTACATTGACAGGCCCACTTGCCACACACTAACGCTCCATCCTGACAGCCCTTGGACAGTGAGCCTCTGCCAAGGATAAAGCCAGTCCCTGCTCCCACAGAAGTCAACAGCAGGGCCCCTTTTCAATGCAGGGATATGTTGTCTAGTTAAAACAGGCTGATTCTGAATATCATACTTAGCAGTACTGGATGGAAAGAGCAAAGGGCTTTGGAAAAAATTGTCAGGCTATTTCTAGACCTAAATTTAACTCCCGTTAAGCCCTGCCAAAACCAGGTTTAGCTGTCTAGCTAGTAGGGCTCCCGCCGTTGAGTAGCCAAGCGCCTCCCACTAATTTCAAAATACAAACGTTAACACCGCCTCCCTCTCCGTCCATACCTTTCTTGTTTCCGCAGGGGAAGGGCAGAGCTGGATTAGCAGGTAGGTTTTTTGCTATGTGTTTGAGTGTCTCTGTGGAACTTACAGGGAAAGCTAAGCCAGAGAAATGGACTTTGCATTTAGTTCTGAATTCAGTGAGGTCTGTGGTTGTTTCGCCATCTTTATGGGAGGGAATTTCACAGAGTAACTCCACTCGAACATCCTGATTGACTTAATTTGGAAACTAATCCTTCAGGTTGCAAGGAAGGTGGCATTCCCTTAATGACTTGCCCTAACTCCTACGTGAATGTGAATACTGGACTTCTACTGTCATTGCTAAACAAACCACACAACTTTTTTGCCCCCTATACAGTGCAGAAGTTAAAATTTTTCATTTTTGTTGAGTTTTTAAAACTTTTAATTAAGAACAACAGGAGAGACTTAACCACTGCAACATTCAAAACAAAACACCACATTGCACTCGATTTCTAAGTCAACTTAAAATTTTAGGCTTAAAAATTAACTCCCTTTTGACCACTTGACTGTTTGAAAGCCAATGTCACTATTTGAGTTGGTCTTGTTGTTAAAGGTTCAGGACTGGGAGTTACGCTTTCCTCAGGCTCCCTGTATAACTTCAGGCAATTCAGTTAGCAGGACTGTGCCTCAGTTTCCCATTTGTGAGCGGAGGATAACGATACTCACCCACTTTGTCAATGGTTTTAGTTTGCTTTGAGATCTGCAGTTATAAGATACTGGACAGTTGCATTATCCCCCCGGACCACCAGTACATACTACACATTTTGAGGTGTCACTCTGGGAGTGATTTATTTCTTGGCACACATTTTATAAAGTAGCCTCCGTGCCCCGCTTCTTTCCATCTACATTACTGATGCCGGATTGAACCCTTCCACTACCAGGCTTAAACGGGAACACAAAGGAGAGCAAGTTGGCAAGGAGGGGGAGTGGAGAGAGGAAAAGCAGTTGGTCTTTAACTAAAGGCCACGCAATATGGTGCCAGAAACCACAAAGGGACACTTCACTGCAAGGTTTATCCTGGGTGAAAGCACCACAACACCTGGGTGAGAGGGTTTTGTGTGTGGATCGGAAAGGGGTTGGGACAACCCCAAGTAAGATTCTGGTCTCTCTCTGCGGTGAAGACAGACTCTAATCACCCTCTGGACAGAGAGCTGGCTCTGGGTCTTAACACAGATTCCCGACAATTCTCCCCCTCATTTAACGTTTCGCCTCCATCTCCATTCAGCTTTCAATTTCTTCCTGAAGAACTGAAGTTGCTCCCTGCAGTGCCCTTCACCCTCCCTGCCCCAAGTCAGGGTCACCTTCCTGCCAGCTGAGAGCCACGGCCGGGGTTCTCTTCCCTCCACACAGTCCTGGCCTCAGGGAGAGAAATGGCTCCGGAAGAGCGGGAGAGTCTGGCCTCCCTCACGCCAGCCCTGCTCTGTGATCTCCCCATACGTGGCCCCTGCTGTCACCCCCGAAGGTGGTTTGGGGGGGCTTAGTTACATGGTGGGCTATATTAGCCTGATGGGTGGAATTGGGGACCAGGCCTGTCTCCCTGGACCAGGTAGCATCGCTCATTCCTACCTAGTGTCCAAAAAAGTGCACCCGATGCAGAGTCCTGCTGCCCTCTCTGCCAGACGCTGCCCTGACACTCTGCCCCCAAACACTTGCTTTTTAGGGCGGAGTCGTCAGCCAGCCTACGCAGCCATGCAGGGGGGAAAGGGGACAAGGCTCCCTCTGACTCGCCTGCCCGGGCTACTCACACCCTGGGGTCATGATGAGAGGAGGGGGGGCAGCCACCACCAGGCTGGGAGTCCCCCCCTTCCAACACACCAGCCAATGCACCCTCTCCTCCTTCGCTCCCACGACACGCCCGCCAGCAGCGCCTAGCCAGGGCAGAGGGAGAAGCAACCTGTGCTGGTGTAAGCTTGGCAAAGCTTACTCCCCCCAGCGAGCAGGGCCAGAACTGTGACTCTGGCATAGTTAATGGGATCCCTGCTCTGTTCCTTCTGACCTGTGCTGCCCTACACACTGCCCCTTATGCAGGACAAGTTGCTAGGTACCAGTCCTGCCTGTAGGCTGGTCCAAACACTCCCTCTAACATAAGACCACAACGTACCCCCGCCCCCATGGGTAAGTTTTCAGATATTCCCAGGGCCAGGATGTAAGAGAATTCTACGGAAATTACTCTTAAAACTTGCAGAAGTTGACAAATATATATTTCCTAAATACCTTTTGCGGTGTGCTACAGGAGGGATAAAAATAATCTATTAAATTCTATAGGATGGCCCCCAAAACCTAAGTACAGTACAAGAGAGATCACAGCATTACAACTTAGTCCTGTGGAGCACAGAGTTCCTGACTGTTACAGCCCTTGTCTGGGCAGAATAGCACTCCATCTAATATTCCAAACATAACGACTCTTTCACTGTTTAAATCTACATTCAAGACTTCTGCCCAGTTAAGAATGTTAGCATGGAACACGTATTTGGCACTTTCCGCATCACTAATTACATCTGATGTACAGCAACCAGCCAGACTCACTTGGAAAGTTCTATATAAATGTAAATGGGGTTGGCAATTTCTCTGAGGAAAAACACAGAAAACTGGCTGCAAAGACAGAAAAATATTTTAAAAGCAAAACATACAACACCAGCCCTATCTGAGGGTTAAACCCACCAATATTCAGCACTTCCAGAATTAAAGTGTGTGTGTGTGTGTGTGTGTGTGTGTGTTAAGAGAGAGAGAGAGACAGACACACACACTTTGTGAACCTTTACAAGCTGTCATTTGTCTTGTCTCATGTTAGAGGAAGGTGGTGGATGAACCCAAACAACCAACCTTCAAACCCGTGGGGCTCAGCTGGGACAGGGGAAGATGGACCCATCTGTGAGCCAAATGTGGCAGGGCTTGCAGCAGCAGCGATTGGGTTCAGCTGGGGAGAAGCTTCTTCTGAGCCCAGGCTGCGGTGCGATTGTAAGAAGTTGCAGCTTTTATAGGGCTGAAGCCCCCCGGGTACAGCTAGAGGACCCCTGACCGTCTTGCACCCCAGCTGACAAGGCCCCTCTGCTCCCCTATGGTAAAACAAAACTGGAAGTGTTCGTTTCCCATTGTAAAGCCATCCGAAATGCCAGCAGTCAGAGAATGCTTTTGATAAGCAGTCTGCAACTCTTCTAGAGATAACAGCCTGTGCGTGAGCTCCACTACCAGGCTAGTCTGCAAGTTCTCAGAAATTTGAAAGGAGAAAATGTAATAAATCACCAGCCACTCTTTTCCTTGCAGACATCTGGATCTACCAGCCCATCGGGAACTGCGAAGCATTAATGTCCACACAATGGCTACAGGAGATGAACCATTGGTCTGTCAAAAACTCTCTGCCTGGAGAGCTGCAGATTTTAAATCCAAGCCCATCTGAAGCTTGCATCCTTTCCCCTCCAGACACTGCAGCATGAGCACCCACTGATCAAAAATAGCAGGAGCTCCAGCATGCAGCCAGAGAAGGAATCTCTGTGAGTGGTTAGGACCAGCAATGCTGCTACATTTGAAGACCACAAAGTAGGGGTTTGAAACAGGGTCTCCTCCATTTAAGATGTGCACAAGCCATAAATGAAAGGCTCTGTGAAGAGCTGAGCTGGTCACGTACAAGATTCAGTGAGGTTTTTAGGAGGCCTATGGACTTTGCTAAGCACTCAAACCAGCCCTCTTATTTACAATTCTATTGAGTATTTGAAAATATATAAAGGAATATCACATGAGAACAGTAAACTGAGCATCCTATTTTGGCATCAAGCCTCACAATTGATTGGGCCAAATCCAAAGTAGCAAATGTATACCCAGCTGACTCAGGCTGATCTAGTCTAGCAAGGCTGGGAATATTAAAGAGGCAGGATATGGTCCAAGTGAACTAAAGTCCTAATATTTGAGAAACAACTGTGGAAGGCCAGGCATCAGGACTCTTGGTTTCTCGGAAGCAGATTGTGGTTTAGAGGTTACAGACACTGAAATATGACAGGTCCCTGTTTGAATCATCTTTAGGGACTGAACCCAGGACCTGTGGATGCAAAAGCATGAGCCTCTACCACCTGGGATCAAAGATCTGATCTCTCAACATTAAGGCAGGAGAGGAGTCATAGACCTCTACCTATGGCCTTGCTGCTAGAGGGTAACACAGAGCCATACGTTGTCAGAGCGGATTACAGAAGTACTTCGTTTTGGCATGTTCCCTCTGAAAGCTTGTTTGGCAAGTAGCTACTTGGCTTCAGAGACC